TTCTGAGAGACTACATTCGTGCCATAAGAAGGCATCTCAGGCTGCAGCTTGGCAATGCCCCGTGACTCGCTCAGGCATCTCAGGAGTGAATCAACACAGTAAGAAATCACGTAGGTCAGCTTCAGAGGCACAGAACCCACTGTGCAGCACCCTAAGATGGAAAATAGCCAAGCTCACAAAACTAGGTTATAAAACAGAATGCTAATTTACAAATAAGTAATGAGAACTGTGTCTGCCAGCATGACCAGGACAGCCTTCTGGTAAGCAGCCGTAAATGCAAAGCCCAGTCATTTCTGGAAGGTGGGTGGGCCTGGAATCAGAACCAGGACAGTCTAATTCATCCACCTCCAAAAATGGATGGCCCTGGCAGTAGGACCATGATACTGCAACTCTGCAGGTTGGAGCTGTCCCTGCTTGGGGCAGTGATGGGCACTGCCAGGGTCTGCCTTTGTCCTTTGTTCATGTTCCATGGCTGACCCCATTCTCCTTTCCCAGATTCAATCTAATTACAGTCAAGCTGTGTGAGCTGCGAGCCTGGGTCTTTAGGTGGCTCTGTACAAACTACCCATTGGTGTTCGAATGCTGCCTAAAATTTAACTCGCAAGTTAAACTGTTACCTTTGCTCCCTCACTGTCTCAAATACTGAAAACAGGATCACGCCCAAGTAAGTTTTGATAAAACTGGGGAGGTAGAATTTTATTTAGTGCTGCTATTCGCAGACTTTATTAAACAACTAATTTGATCCATGAGATAAACCCAGTGCCCTGCTATTGGCTGCCCTCTAGTTCTTAATATCTAGATTTGGGAGAAGCAAGTTATGGCGGTAGTAATGCTGTTGATAGAGCACAGTGATCCTCATCTGACTTCTGTGTTGATTTCCTATCGAATCTTGAGGGTCCCCTAAACCTATAATGAAAACAATCACCTTGGTTTAGATATTGAACTCAGATGTTTAAAGTATTGATTTTTATTCAGCAATTATCATTGCTTGTCCCAGAACCCTGTTTGTTCAAGGTAAACTGCCTTCTGACTGCAATTATAGATATTGTGTTGAAAATTAAAAGCAGAAAGAAACTTACCTTGCCAATGTTAGTATTGTCCAGGACTGCGTCCACTTCATCTAAAACAAAGAATGGAGCAGGCCGAAAACTAGAAAAAAACAGTAAAGGAAGTTACAATTTTCTATCTGTTTTACAAAGACTTGGAGGAAAGCATTAACAACATTGTTCAGAATAAGACACATCCTTTTGGACACTTTTGTCTGGGTAATCAATGACCTTTATGCTGCTACATCCAGTGCTTGTCCTGTGTGACCTATGCAAGGAGTACTCAGTCATCCCCCTCCTTGAAACACTGGGACGACACAGTCTACTGCCCTCACCCACTGCTCCCTCTGCATCTCTTCCGCTAACATTTCATCTCTCTGACCTTGAACATGGCCGTGACCTCAGGGCTCAGGGTTTAGTGCCCTCTGGTCTCTAATTAACTCCCTTGGTGATTTCATCTGGTCTCAAGGTTTTAAACACCATCCAAATCCTGACAACTCCCAGTACTTCTACCAATCGTTCTGAACTCTTGCCTCACGTGTCCAACGGCTTACTCAACAATTCCACGTAGGGGTCTAACAAGCATCTCACACTCATCCAAAATCAAACTCCCTACCTGCCCTTCCAAACCTACTCCCTCTTGTGGGGAGCTGCCTCTTACTGCAGCTCTTATCACTCTCGTTGATTAGGCCAAACTCCATGGCGTCATCTGAGTCCTTCACACTCCACGCCCTGTCTGTTGGTAAGTTCTGCCGGCTCAAACTTCTGTTCTCCTCCTGGCCCAACCCATCACCATCTTTCACCTTGTCACAATAGTTTTCAAACCCTGTGCTTGCCACTGCTGCATAAAGCCTATCTTCACACATGCCAGGCTCACTCTGGCCTCAGGGCCTTGGCACTTGCTGCTCCTCACATCTAGAACATTCTTCCCATAGCTATCTACAACTTGCTCCCATAATTCCTTCAAATCACTGCTCAAATGTTACCTTCTCAAACAGGCCTTCCTGAAACTCTTTAATACCACAAACCCTTCTATGCTACTCACTATCTCCATTTCCTACTTTTTCCCCCCTCTATAGGACGTGTGATTTTCTAATATTCTCTATATAAGAGAAATTAGTTTAATAATATACGTTATTTGTTATCTGTCTTCCCCAACTAAAATGAAGTATCCTTGAAGCAGGCATTTTGTTTTGTTCACAGCTGTCTCCCCACTGTCTGCAATAGCTCCTGGCGCACAGTAAATAGTAAATATTGTTGAAAAAATGGATGTGGGCGCCACCTAGTGACGGTCTTATTCTGCTAAGATTCCTTGTACAGAACCTGCCTCCTGCTCTCCCAGAGTCCCCCTGCCTTATTCCTTTTCCTTCTTGAGACCCGTGAACAATGCTTGTCACACTCCTGTTTATGTTCCTGGTCATGGAAATAGAGAGGCAGGATCGTCTACGGCTCAGATCTTCATCTAATGCTGTGAATGGTGAAAGCTATTATTTGCCTTAATTTTAGTTAACTTTTTGTTTCTTGATTTATTTTACAAAGAAACAGTGCCACCATCATCAGAGGAAATAAGGAGGTTAAATACTTTTTAAAAGAAAATGCTTAGCTTACCATTCCTTACTAAACAGCAGATCTCTGAATATGGACTAGGGAAATAATGTACAATTTGGACTTTTTGTTTGTTGTTTTTGTTTCCTGGCAATCCTGATGTCACATTTGGAGATTCAAAATATTTTTCTTTCTTTTCTAAAAAGCTGGAATATAGCAACTATTGATAACAGAAACTGAATAAAAATCTGTCAGAGACTGAACTCTCTCTTAGATTTGCTGTCTACATTGTTGCAGGCCTAAAACATAACTTGAATTGTCTGGCTGAAGAAGAGTTTGTATCACATTAGTAGATATTAATGAAGGCAAATAGTTAATACGTCTTTCATAAGATGGTCTGCTTGGATTCTGCCCTGACACAAAACTGAGTAGCTTGTTGTGGCCTTACCTGTGCACAGCAAACAGGAGAGCCAAAGCTGCCACACACTTTTCTCCCCCCGACAAATTGTCCATTGGCATAAATCGTTTCCCTGGTGCTATGCAGTTATAGCTAATTCCCTCCAAGTAAGGTTCTTCAGCGTTCTCCGGGCTAAGAAATGCCTGAAACGCATTTTAGTTATTTAGCAACATTAGAAAAGCAACTAGTAAATTTCAACTTGGGGTTGCCATAGTTTAAACGCGAAATATTCTCTTGGTTAGGTTTTCCTCAATTAAAAAAAATAATAATAATAAAGATGACCGGTAAGGGGATCTTAACCCTTGACTCGGTGTTGTCAGCACCACGCTCCCCCAAGTGAGTCAACTGGCCAGCCCTAGGTTTTCCTCAATTTTGATGTAAAAATACCAATGCCTGTAAGTGATGTATTTACTTCTACGTGTAATCACAGGCAACAGGGTTGTCTGGGTAGAGGAAAGAGGGAAAACATCCTAACGTGTCCAAGGATCAGGCCTTGCCAACGGACTGCCATTCAAACCTCTGCAGCAATGCCATTGTCTTATAAAAACAGTCTTTATTCAATTCACTCACTGGTTTATTCATCAAACATTTATTGAATGTCAGTTGTGGGCCAGGCACTGTAAATAAAGAGATGACTCTTGTTCTCACGGAGTTACCGGGTTTATTTTAATCTTACTTTACAGGAAATTACTATGTTATTTTCAGTTGAAATTCAAAATATCTGATCCAGGACCAAATCTAAGTCATTCTTAAGTCCTGACCTACATCTTTATTCCACACTCAATTCCACAAGTATTTGCTATGGAAATTTGTAATGCAGCGGGTGGTTATAGCAAAGAGGCTGTCATGAAAAGGGACATATCTGGATTCGAATCCTACCTT